TACACATACATATATATACACATACATATATATATATATATATATATATATATACACATATACATACATATACACACAATAATAATAATAATAAAAATAATAATGTATGGATAATTAAGTCAACCAAAGTCAGGGATGGTATCATTAACTAAAGCTAAATTTATTTAAAAAATTATGAATTGAAATATAAAATAAATGTTTTCTAAAATAAAATATAAAAATATATATTTTTTATAAAAATATAAACACACACACACACACACACACACTTCTTGTTTTAAGCTTAAATTCATTTAATTTTGATACATTTTACAAAAAACAATATAAAATGTCACTTGTCAGTGTTTCCTGAATTAGGAACGTTTAGATGTTTGTGCTGGAAAACATGCATTTAAATGATTCTCAAAGCTCATCTGTATGACAGTAGTTTTATGGTAATGTCCTTGTTGTGTGGTTAATGTTCTCTAATTAGCAGAGCGTGATTTAACCGTCCTCTCCGCACTGACCCGAGGGCTCGATAACGCAACCCCTGCGGCAATAAATTATTTTAACGTCTCTTGACCCGTCCACCTCCATCACCCTCTCCACCCTCCGCTGAACTTCAGCAATCAATAGATGAATGCTGACATTCTGAACCTGTCAGAAAACGCCTGGCTTCATTTCCAAAACAGGACATGAGACGTGACCCCGTGACCCCGTTCAGACAATGACACCCTGTTAAGTGAGGAAGATTTTTATACGTCTCTGAACTTACACATGGGTCGTTTGTGGTTACTACCTTTCGTAAAAGATAGGAAATGTGTTAACCGGGGTTTGCTAAATGTGATGAGATTTGAATAGGATTAGGGGTTTTGAAAAAATCAAACACCGCTAAGTATTAAAGTTGAGCGTGTGCCTCATCCTGCAGTGTCTGAGCTCCAGATATGAATGATTCCTCAAATCATGAGTCTTGCTGAGGTGCTTTACTAACCATGTAAAGCCTGACATATGCAACAATTGTCCGAAAAATCTTTTTTTTTAAACAGTTTATTGAACTTTGTCAAAATCCAAAAAAGGTTTGCATATCTATTTTTATTGAGTATTGTACTTGATGAATCAGGCTTTTATGGCTTAAGTAGTATGATATAATGAGAATTATAAACCTGAGAAACCATAAGCAATTTGATGCAGATGCTGATATTTATATGATGAATAGCTTCTGATAGCTTGTCATGTAAATCAATGAGTATAGCAGAAACTTCAATAAAATTATAGAAATATCAGCCATCGCTCTAAATCTTCCGATAATGTCTCAGTTAGATGACATTTAATTGCTTAGTTTGATGATCAAAACATATAATGCCATGCAATGATGAAAAGCCTGATGATAATTAATATTTGATAATCACATTTGAACATGATTTTTGTATGATGATAATAATAATAATAATTATGATAGTCAACCTAAATCAGGGTTATTATTAATTAATAACATAATAATTCATGTTTAACTAAAATAAAATATATATTAAAAAAACATTTTTCAGTTTCATTTACTTGAAATCAGAGTACTAAAATAACTCAAACTAAATAAATCAAAAATAAAAACTAAAACGTAACAATATAGAGATTAAAAGAGACTAATAAAAATGTCAAAAACACAACAAAACTGCTAAATCTTTAGCTAAAATTAAGCAGAAAATATAAAAAATAAATTCTAAATCAAAATATTAACAAAAACTAGTTTAGTACACTAATGATAGTAAAGTAACACTGAAGTTGCTTCAATCCAGTCAGTGTTCATCTTACTGAAATATTACTAACAATATAAAAGTTATTCTTATGTTTACTTTATGAATATCAGTAAAGATTTCTCAGCAAAAAGACGCATGAACCACAAGCTGAAGGTGGATGTTTTTACAATGATGCTAAAAGGCCTTTTACTTGCTAAAAAAGGCATGTAGTAGATTGTGTACAAAGTTTTTCAGCAAAGTAGAGGCCTTACAAATGTATCCAATATGATCCAGTAAGCTTTATAGGGTTAATGATTTGTTCAAATCTCTTAACGCTCATCATGAGCCATAGTAATAGAAAGCATCACTAATTATTTTAATGCCACAGTCATTTGAGGTTATATCACATGATCAGATCAGTCCGATCTCTTTTTCCTCTTCTCTCTTCAGGCCTGCAGAGCTCAATAAAATCCTCATCTCCTGGCTGAAGGAAACACACCAGAAAGCCTCTATCCCTGTTCATCCCAAGTTATGAGAGCATGATCTTGATTTAACTATACGCAGGCGAATGAACTAAAGTGCACTAATGTCCAGGCTTGCTGATTGCATAATAATAGTCCATTGTCACACCGGTATCACCGTCAGCACCGTCTATCGCGGCAAGCCTAGTTAACAGTGGTCCACAGCCCATTTCATGTGCATATTGCAAAATGAACTCGGTTTTTGTAAAACCGCTTTACTAAAAATTACCCACAGTGTAGGCTGAAGAGTGAAGTGTACCTTACATGTCCTTTAAAGTGTGAAAGATGGCCTGAAACTGTTGGCAGATGCTGTCAGATAAGTCAAAAATAGAAACCAACCCTACCTGATACGTATCTCACACCACCAACGCCTCTTTCCATTCAGGTCATGGGGCATTTCAGAGTTTTATTCTGGTAAACCGACTGTTTCAGATACAGCTATCAGATTTAAGAAAGCCTCTATCCCTGTTCATCCCAAGTTATGAGAGCATGATCTTGATTTAACTATACGCAGGCGAATGAACTAAAGTGCACTAATGTCCAGGCTTGCTGATTGCATAATAATAGTCCATTGTCATGTGAGTAGATTTCAGTAGTCCAGTGCTTTTTATATGAAGTCTTTTATAATACACTGCAATAATGAACAGACATTTTTTAAGGCAGTGTCTGTAGCTCAAATAAGCTCATATTTACATTTTGTGTGAACAGCATCTGTCACTGTTTGCACTTAGTGTAAATAGCCACTGCCTTTTTTAATGTAATATTGATGAATGTCACATTTTATTATGAATTGTTTTATTAACAGCTTGCTTTGCAAAATAAAACCAATAAATAATCCTTTTCTTTGTAATAAACTGAATCAATACTGCTTTACAAGAATCATTCATTGTATATTGTTTGCTACAAACATTGATATTTTGGCCTGAACAATTACTCTAATCGGCTATTTTTTGAATAGTGACATCAGCCAATAAGTTCATTTCAGAATTAAATTTTACAGAAGTGATAATTTCTACTCACTGTCTGTCAGTTCTAGAAACATAAAGCAAACCTTTATGGATTTTGTGTATTCAATTTGTTTTATTTCTCATTTAATGTTATATGCTATCATTATATTTTATTAATAATGGGTCAGTTTGAATTTCTTTAAAAACAAAAACAAATTTTCTTCCACAAAGATGCATCAAATTGATCAAAAGTGAGCGCAAAGCCATTTATGTTACAAAAGGTTTCTTGTTTTAAATAAATGCTGTTCTTTTGAACTTGCTATTCTTCAAAGAATCTTGAAAAATAAAAATTTTCACAAAAATAGGAAGCAGCACAACTGTTTTCAACAGTGATAATAATCAGAAATGCTTCTTGAGCATCAAATCAACATATTAGAATGATTTCTGAAGGATCATGTGACACCGAAGACTGGAGTAATGATGCTGAAAATTTAGTTTTGCATCACAGGAATAAATTATATTTTAAAGGGCAGGTCATATGGTATTTTAAAGTGTCCTAATATTGTGTTGGAGTCCCCTACAACAGGTTTAAATGCATCTAAGGTCAGAAACATTGTAATTTTCTCAGAATATACATTTAATATTAGAGTAATTTGCCAATGATTTCGAAACGATTCATTCCAAGCAAGTTCGGAGCAAACCCCTCCCTTCCATAAGCCTACTCTGCTCTGATTGGTCAGCTGGCCAAGCCTGTTGAAACTGTGAACACTTAATACAATAATGGTGGATACATTAGCCGAGTGCTAACATGACTAACTGATGAAACGATGTTGTAAACCAAAATATGTCTACTGAAATGTTTGAAGAACGACAGACAAAAGACGCTCTGTCTTAGCTTTTAATCAGAACTTAGAACAGCTGTATCACAGGCGCAGCAGCCTAACTAACTCGCTCGTCTCTCCCGCATTAACCCTATAACTGCCAGTGCAGCAAAATAAACAGCAATTAGCTGTGTGCTACACTACATTCTTTATTATTAAACAAAGTAATTACAACAACGTCAGTTTACATTAATCGACAAATTCTTAGGAAATAGTGGGTTCACAGCGAATTATCAGAACTACTTCAGTAAGACAGTAATATTGTGAGATTAGAGAAGCAGTCCTCGGTAAAATGATAAGCACACAACAAAAGGTTCGAATTGTATTTCTGTGGTATCCTTGAACACAGCATCTTCTCGACATGATGTAAACACACTAACTAGCTGAAGTGTTTGTGGGCAGGTCAGACTCGCGGGCAGGCGGGGATTATGCAAATGTGTTACCCAATGACGTATACCGGTAACAGGCAAAAGATTCGAAAACATGACGACTCGTTAAGGCGATTCAGAATCGACTCTCTCTTTTGAGAGACAATATCTTTATTTATCGTGCACTTTTTTGATTAATAACTTTGCAGATTGTTTTCTTTTAAAGATAGCTACTTATAAACTGCAAAAGAGATATTTTTCAAAAACCCATATGACCTGCTCTTTAAAATCTATTCAAATAAAAAAAAAAACCATTTTAAATTGTAATAATATTTCACATTTTTATTGTTTTCATTGTATTTCTCATCAAGTAAATGCAACCTTGCTGAGCATAATTTTATCAGTAATGCTCTACCTCTTAGTCAATAGCTGATTTCCAGCTTTAATACATCGGATTTTCATCAATAAACCTGAACTCTTAAAGCATCTGCTGTTAACTAGTGTGGTATTTCCCGAGGAGGAGCTGTGATTGCAGTCATTGCATCTTGTCCTCAAGAACAGCAGCCGCTCTCTTTGTTAAAGCAGACTGATTGCCTTGACCTGAGATTGCTGTTTTATAATGAGTGTAGAGGAAGGCAGAGCGGCGCTAGAACCACTGCAACTGCTTCATTTAAAAAAGGAAATGATTTCACATACAAAGGGGTCATTTTCTGCAGTAACAAGCGACTCGCTGTTTTCTAAAGGGACAGTCGTGCTCCCTTCATTCTGAGTGTCAGTGTCTAAACTCTCAAGAGCACAGAGAATGTGTTTAGACATCCTTCCTGTTTGCTGCGATTTGAGTTAAGTTTCTGCTTTGAAAACTCACTGAAAGAGATAATTAAACTTTCTGGTTAGTGATTATGCACTTTAATTATTTACCATACTCATATTCAGCTAGGGTTTTAGGCAATTTTGGTAACGATGGAATATTTTTGAAGTTTAAATTCATTCATTCATTCATTCATTATTGGTGTGACTTGTTTTAAATACATGTAAATTTTAAATATTTACATGTACAGTTCCTGTAAATATTTACAGTAACTGCTATGTCATGGGTTTGATTACCAGAAAATGCACATGGCAAAATGTATACCTTGAATACAGGTTGCTTTGGATAAAAGCATCTACCAAATATGCTATTTTTAATACATTTGAATATGCAAGTTAACTGTCAGATGCACATTTACATGTGGTGTGCATTAAATCTGCATTCATCTTGCCAAACAAAACCATTAAAATGAAACTCCAACTACTAAATATGTAGCTACACTCTAAAAAATGCTGGGTTAAATACAACCAAGTGCTGGGTAAAGTATGGACAAACCCAGCGATTAGGTTTGTCCATATTTTACCCAGCGCTGGGTTGTATTTAACCCAGCATTTATTAGAGTGTATATTCACATTCAAAATATAAACTATATTATCTGCAACTGATATATTAAAAGTTGCATACTGTATATAGTACATCCAACTTCATCTGCATATACAGTATACTCACGTCACGTAAAGCCATATATAATATATAGCAAATCTGAACTGCTTTATTGCTTGTATCATCACAAAATGTAAACTATATTGCTGCCCAGCTTTAATCTGCTAAATGTGACTATAAGGCATTCAAATATAAATATTATCATCATGATTTTCTGTAAAGCTGCTTTGAAATAGTGTGTATTGTGAAAAGTGCTATGGAAATAAATTTGCTTTGCCTAGTTATAAAGGCACTGTGATGCTCACATATTGTTCAGAAAATGTAAAAATAAGTTCACTTTCAGAATGGCAGTTTGTTTGACAGTATCTCTTCATACTCATCAGATGAAGGATACAGACAGACAGACGCTCCATCAGTGATTCTGCTGATACTCCAGGGTCTTCTGATCACAAGGTTTATTGTGCACAACGGACAAACTAAACCAGGTCCAAATGCTCAGTCCCACAGGTGATGCATGGAGATTGCTGGCTAGCAGCAGATTTGAGGGCCATGACAATTGATGTTTGTTAGCGTTTGTCTGTGTGGTGTGAACTGGCCTTCAAAGAAATAGTTCACCCAAAAATTAAAGTTTGCTGAGAATTTACTCACAAGATTTAAATGAGTTTGTTTCCTCATTGTAACAGATTTGGAGAAATGTAGCATTCCATCACTTGCTCACCAATGGATCCTCTGCAGTGAATGGGTGCCGTCAGAATGAGAGTCCAAACAGCTGATAAAAACATCACAATAATCCACAAGTAATTCACACCACTCCAGTCCATCAATTAACATCTTGCGAAATGAAAAGCTGTGTTTTTGTAAGAACCAAACCATCATTAAAGCATTTTTGCATTTTAAACTGTTGCTTCTAGCCAAAATACGAAAAAGCTTCTTCTGGAAAAAGCTCATCACCTGTTGTCCTCGCACATCAAAATATTCCAACATATTTGTTTTGAACTGTTTTCACTTGTAAACAGTACTTGATCTGTGCATGTTTCTCTCCTGATTCAGACAAGACAACTTGAGGAGACACTAGAGAAAGCGTTATTATGGATTAAGAACTCGTATTTTGGACAGAAGTGATGGTTTAAAGTTAAAATTCTTGGTGGCTTTGTTTCTTACACACAGGATGTTAATTGATGGAATGGAGTGGTGTGGATTACTTGTGGATTATTGTGATGTTTTTATCAGCTGTTTGGACTCTCATTCTGACGGCACCCATTCACTGCAGAGCATCCATTGCTGAGCAAGTGATTTCTCCAAATCTGTTCAGATGAAGAAACAAACTCATCTGCATCTTGGATGTGCTGGGGGTAAGTATATTTTCAGCGCAGTTTCATTTTTGGATGAACTATTCCTTTAATATGGCTGTTCATTTTGCAATGATACG